ACACACTTGCACAGACACACACACACACAAATACACAGATCCAGACACAAGCTGCCGGCCGTGCCCACCCCCTCACCTCGACTAGCTCCCAGCCCTCCCAGGCCTCCCAGGCTTCTCATCATCTCATTAGCCAACGCCGGCCACTCCACTGTCTACTGTTTGCATTGTTTTGGGCTCTGCATAATTTACACAGTAAATTGAGAACTGCCCCGGCCCCCTTTGCTCAATCTACCACCTGTTTATGGAGGCCTGGCTGTGATTAGTGCGCTTTGGGTTTGACACAGTTACCACAGCACTTCTCAGGAAAGCCAAGCGACGCCTCCGCTTTTAAAGGCTGCATCGTCAAAAATGTAAATGCAGAAAAAGCTTGGCATGACCTAATTTAAGAACTGGTATCACTTAGGGTTTAGTCTGTGTAAATATTGGAAATCAGTTTGGAAATTTTAGGAAATGTGAAATTAATCAAACTTTGGCCAAATTTAAAATTTTCGATCCTAACTTTCTCTTATAGAACGGGAAAGTCACCTTGGGCCTTTGCTGACAAGATGCTTTCTAGTGTTTAGCAACAGTCCCCTTTTCTTCTCTCACCTTGACCCAACAGGGGGTATCAGCAGTCCCGCTGCTAGGCCTGTGGACTGGCACCCTACTGTAAGTTAGCATTAGCATTGTCTCTCTGACCTCCACACCACAGACACAAACAAAAGGAGGTCTCTCTGTTGCGAGGACAATGCCGTGCATTGTTTACCGGCTGCCTTACTTAATCAAGCCCAGCCGATGCTAATTGGTGTTTTGGTTTAAGCGGTTTTCAAAGTTCGGAGCTCCCCGGTTGGAATAATGCTGCACTATAACGAGCTCGCTCAGGGAGAACAATACTCGACTTGTCTAAGCACCGACTGCCCTCCAACACTGGCCACTCGCACAAAGAGAGGCTTTCCAGTACTGAGACTCTGCCTATCAAGGTCCCGCTTTCTCACTTCTTCACCATCTCTTCTCAATTATTTCTCTCTCTCTGTCCATCTCTCTCCTGCTTTGTGTTGGTTTTGTTATATGCTGCAGTGTCCCTGTATGAGAATTTGAATGGTGGTTCATGGATATCATCACTTTCCACTTGACAGATGTGCGATGTGTGTGAAGAAAAAACATTTTTAGAATGAATCTAAAAGTCGTAACTAACTGTCATTCAGTAACACTCTACCACACTGTTTCATGTCTGTGAGCAACTATATGGAGTTCTGAACTGTGCCTCTGTATTGTCCAGAAGGCACGGCTTGCATCATATCTCCAAAATGGCAGCCGCCGCCATGTCGGGGCACGCATGTGAGGATGGCATGAGAATTCCCAAACGGGAAAGAAAACATGGCGCTTCAGAGGACAGATGCCCACTGAAAGCCTCCTGAGAGAGGCATTGAGAGCAGAGTGATTTAATGTGAACACACATACAAAACACGCTCCGCCCACATCAACTCACCCTCCCCTCCACCCATCGGCACATCTTGTGAATCTTGCAATTAACAAAAATATCCGAGGTGATTAAAACGGAGGCTGTAGCCTGCTGGAGAGGAGGAGCGAGGGCACAGGGAGGTGGAAGAGGAGAGGATGGGGGGTCGGGGTGACGCCGGTGGAAAGATGCAGCATGGCGGGCGCAGTGGGTTTGGTGTGTTACCTGCACTGACTGGTCTTCCCACTTCCATTTCATGCCAGCGTTGCTCTAAGATGGTGGCGCGGGCTGCGTCTCGCTGTACAGGAAAAAGGGGCAGTCTGCTGAGGATGGAGCGGAGGAGGAAGGGAGGAGAAGGAGGAGGGAAGAGGCGATGCAGAGGAGGGCGAGGAGAGAGGGAGGGCAGAATCAACAGCAACCCCTCCTCCTCCTTATTCTCTGTTTTTCAGTCTCCTTTTGCCAGCTTTCCTTCAGTGGTGTGGTGATGGTGGTAGCCTGCACAGAAAACGGGAAAATCAGAGGGCGAGAGAGAAAATTTTAAGAATGTGGTTTATCCATGAAAACGCACATGTATAGCTCACGGAAGCATAGAATGCGAGCCGTGCACACACATGAACGCATGTATACACACACGCATGCACACACACACACACACACACACACACCCACACACACACACCTTTTCATGTCTGTTCTCATGGTACAGTCTGCCCCTGAGCATGCAAATGACTTTCATTATGCAAATGCATGCAAATCAGATCCAACCATCTGAGAATCAAGGGTGGGAAAGAAAAAAAAAACTCGACACAGAGATTGAATGAAAGAATGAAAGAGAAAAAGGACAAGAGAAAAATCCTTTTGAGTGGCAGGAGGCGGTAAGTTAGGTAAATGCTCTGTGGAAAACAACGGCAGCCCAATTGGACAAACACGATTACCTTCTTTTTATTGTGTCTACGACTTAATTTTTTTACATTTCAGACTCCAGGTTTTTTTTAAATTCATTTGATGTCTGTGCCTTTTGTAGCAAAGGCTCTCCTAATGTAAACACTACGTTACTTAAATTCAAGGACACTGATGATGCTCTACATTCCTGTCACCACGTACTTTGCATCTGACAGCTGCAGTTAAGCATTAGTGGAAATAATGCCGCATTTTCAGCTTCGGTAGAATTGTAAACAGCTGTTCGGCACTGTTGACATTCACCAGTTAAGCTAAACGTGAATTTGAAGTAGCTCTGGTAAATCCAACTGTAGTGTTATTGAGCATTTCTTTCAGCCTTAACAGCTGACTCAAAGCCTGTGTTGCTCTCAATTCAAATGGTCTCTGACTGCAGCCATTCTCATAATAGGATGCTCTGTCTTTGTACATGCATCAGTGCAAAATAATAGGCAGGACTAGCTTAAAGCAAGTCATTAGGTGGCTAAATGCTATTAGCACTAACACAGCCCAACCACTGTGGATATCAGATGAAAGGGGTTATTTTTAATTGCTTGAAATCAGCATCTGTCTTGACCAAAATCCTTCCCTCAATTACCCACACCTGCCCGTGCAAACCTGTGAGTCTAAAACCAAAGTAGCACAATGTAGCCAGCTTGCTAAGTTCAATATTCAGCAGGTGGAGTCTATGTCTTGCAGGTTTAGCTGCATAGTTCGTGAACCCTTCTATTCAAAGAAATCAACAAAGAAAGCTGACTAATCGGTGAACAGAGCACACTGTCTGATTTTGCTAATACTCTGAGCCTAGCAGAAAGGATCCTCCATTAGCCAGCAGAGGAGGGAGCCAGCTTTTGTCTCTGGGTGTCAGTAGGGGAAGGCTACGTCTGAAATTGGAATAAGGTGGTAAAAACAGGGGTGACTTGGAGTGTGAGAGAGTTGGGGTGGGTATGCAGGGAGGGGAAGGACTACAGGGGTGGGGTACTGCTGAATGGTGGCAAACCTCTCCTAATTGGCACTTGACATTTTTTTGCCATTGGCACTGGAGTGGGCCAGCTTTCAAGCCCTCTCCGGGTCCTTGTTGGAAAAGTGCCTTATGCAAATATGGCGAATGGGCTCTATTGTGAAGCCTCTGATATTAACAGCTCACGCAACAATGAAATTGTGTGCTTACTCTGGACTCGTAGGTGTGTGAGAGAGAGCTAGACAATGGCAGCAGGAGCAGCTTCAGTCTGAACAGACCCTCCATCGGATGCTTTGCCAAGTCATTTCACCAGAATGGGCTTTTTCTGAGGACCGAGGCTCTCGGTAAAAGCTTTATTAACGACTGAAACAAACAAATGCATGCACTGTTTTGCTCTGGCTCTGAGAGTGTCTCTGTTTATACTGCTGCTGAATGGCTCGATTTATTGTGGTTGAAAATACTGAAGGTATGGATAGAAAAGGCTTCACTCATTCTCTTTGAAAGATACTTCCCCTCTTAAAACATCACTGTCTCAGTTCTAAATGTGAAAATGTATTCATGCTCCAGTGCTGTGCCGCACTCCCTCTGATATTTCTTTCTTCCTCTGTGTGCCCGCATTGTTTACCCTTAACTCACTCCCTTGGGTGAGCACAGCTCAAGATCTAAAGATATCTGCAGAATCCCTTTGGAGAAAACTTGGCAAATCAGTGAAGAAATGTTGCAAAACTGAGCTACATTTTCAAACGCAGTAAAAATGATAAGAGGCCAGTGCTAGACAGCTAGGCCAAACACACTCTCGACTAAAACTTCTAAGCTGACAAGGTCTGAAGCATCCTCGTCGTCTGAGAACACAAAGCAAATTTCATCTTTATCTCTTCACAACTCAAAACCAACTGGGAGTCAAACAGAGCAACGGGTCAGTCAACAGCAGTCACCCCCCGTGTGGTCCTAGCGCAGTCAAAGTACACCTGTTACTGCTAAGTTGCCAAACTTAATCTCCTTTGTCTGGGGAGGCCCATTGACTTTTGCAAATGCCTAAGATACATTCATTTCTCTGTGAGCCTATGGGGGTGGAGGGAATGCCGATGTTGTAGAAAAGAACAGGGTCTGGCCTTCTGCTCCAGCCCAACAGCGAAGCCATTTTCCGAACCCTGTTGGTGTGTTCCGTCAAGAGAAAGAGGGGCAGAGAAAAGGGGGCAAGAATCACTGGGTCTTATTCAGAAAACTGTCTGGCTGCTCGGACCCGGCAGGGGTGAAAGGGAGGCAAAGGGGCGCATTGTCCCTCAGTGACAAGTGGACTAGCTCTATTGACTGTAAAGTCTACTGGTGGGGGGGGCAAGAAGGACCCGACCACAATGGCTGTTTTTCTATTTGACACTTGGAGTCTAAATCTGCTTGCCTAGTGCATAAAGCTAAGACAAACCCACCACCCTCCTCCTCTTCTTTCCTCTCTCTGCCTTCTTTCCTTCTACACCCTTTCTCTGTGCGCTCTCTTTCTATTTAAGACACTGCCATGGGACACAGAAAAAGAGAGAGAGCAAAGGCCCTAAGGTGGTTTTTAGGAACTCTCCCATCTCTGTGCCATTTTCAGGCAGCAGAAGCTAAGACAGTCTCTACTCTGGGGTCCCCAGTGTGAAGTGTTAGTGATATAACTGTGCCACACACGGAGCCGGCACAAAGCATTTGCAACATGACATGCGTCTCCCAGGGCAATGCTTAGGGTATAAACACAATCTGTCCAAGACTTCAGTTCCCATTTAGCCTCAACACTGTAACTGACACAAAAAGGAAGCACAAGGAGACAACTTATCTTTACACTGCTCAAAATCTGCCTGGCTTGTACCTGTTAAATGCTGAAATTTGTACATGCAAAATGCGCCAGCACAAGTAGGCACAATCATTAATCTATAATTTACAATAACAGATCAAAACCATTCCACGATCTTAAGTCTGCACTGCACACAATAAAAACACAGCAGCAGTGGTGGAAGTAGCATAATAGAGAGGGAACCAGGTACTACTTTGCCATCCAAGAAGGTGACATCTCCGGCTGTCACTTCCTGTCAAGACCCTCGTTCCTCTCTCTTGCTAGCTGAGCCCAGAGCTCAAATGTCACACTCAGCACCTGCAATGCAGCAGGCAGGCAGGCACAACTGCAGGGCTTGAAGAGATTGACATTGTGAGGTGAGGTTGCCACGCAAGCTTTTAGGTATTTCACTTTGGCCCTGCACAACTGTTCAGAATTTGCACCATGTCAAGCTGAATATATCCAAACTCCAGGGCGACGTTTTAGCTGAGCCGTGTTGAGACAGCAAACCGCCATGTGGAATATGTATTACAATTGGAGTTCACTGCTAGCCTTGTAGCTCCAAAGCCATGAGACCTTGGAAACAATCCTTAGCGGCCTCTCTCAGCAGGAGTGACCCTCTAGCTTTGATGGGCAGAAAAAGAAATCACACCTTCAATCAGCCATCAGAGGCCTTGAGGTTGAAGATCTGATTGACCAATTACTCCTCACCATGAGCCTGGGCAAAGAACCTTCAGGCTCAGATTGTTCTCCTTCTCTCGCTCATGGATCTCGTCACTGGGGGCACTTTCTGCTTGATTGCCCCTGGACCACCCCCCCCCCCCCCAGCCTTGTGCGCACACAGCAGCAGCATTCAGCAAGATCCCATCAGGCCTTTCCACATGGTAGCACCTCATGCAATGGTGGCTTTGCCACGGCCCATTCACAACCAAGCCAACTGTCACGTCAAATCAAACAACGGCCAGGACCCCAAATCAAACATCTTTTCATGCAAAAGGGTGAAAGGAGTAGGTGGGAAGGAGAAAAAAAAATCAACAACGGCTAACTTAACAAAATTGGCCTCAAACAAATTCTTGTCTGTTCGCTTAGGTGCCGGCGGGGAGTTGGGAGCCCGGATTAACTTGGAGGGAGCATTCTTAACTCAAACAATCCCATCCAAGTCAGAACATATGTATAATTCATAGCACCGTATGCAGCTCCTATGATATAAAAGGTCCACATTCTTTACATATTGCATGTTCTCTTGATGCCAAAGATGCAAGAAGCAAAGCTGAAATTCATGGAGCCAAATGAATAGAGCATTGACCACACTGGCTAGCAAACTGATTAGTTAACAGCGACTTGTTAAAAGACTTGTCCATCAGCTTTGGTGAATCAGTGTGGGTCTTTTTCAGCAAGCCCGTCACTCCCGGCCATGTGATACTATGGCTAAGCCCCTGCATGCAGCCCCACACACAAGGATCATGGGGCTTATTAGATTAAAAGTGATCCTGTTGCACCAACCGTACTGCTATGGATCACTGCCACTGGCTGCAGGGAGCTGTAGGGAATATGTGCAGCAATGTCCCATTTATTTCTACATGCCTACCAAAGGTATTCTTTCTAAATGTTGATGGATCGAAACAGAAAATATAGACAGAGCTTTACAGTAAAGTTGATCTAAAAGCCTCGTGGTCTGAAACTTTGTCACTTACATGCACTCACACACATATAATCATGCACCCTACCTTTTGCTGCATTCCGCTCCCATCTCCTTTTGACCGTCGTCCATTTTCTTCTCTCTTGTTGAAGTTCTTGTGGCAGAGTTTGTGTTTTTTTTTGGGAGGGAGGCACGTTTGGGGTCTTGATGCCTTTTCAGGAGCGTAATGGGATTCTTGTTACTTTCGGTTATCTAGCTTTATGAAGAATGTACATCACTCATACAGCTAGATAACCAAAGATAACAACCAACCCCTAAGGCTACCCATCCTCTCAAGCCGCAGGCAAAGTGACATGGGCCAAGTTCTGATCTATAGGCAAAAGAGAAAGTTATTGATAAAAACATTATTATATGTTTCTTCATTTAAATAATTTAAATGATAACAGACTAACTTTGGAAGGAATTCAAATTTCTATAAAAAATGTGTCTGGAAATCCGTAAAGATCCAACAGCAGTTAACACCAACTCCGAACAAAGACGTTACTCTTCTTGCTTGGGGCCTTTTTTCCTCACTGAACCTACAGCGGCCCTTAAATGTCCTGACCCTTCATTTTGTGACGTCACCATGAGGCCCCTCACCCCACCTCAAACTGCCTAGGCCAATTAAAAACCTCCCTTTGTGCACAGAATGCTTTGATTGGCCTGTGGGTAATGCCTCTATATCAAAAACTCCCCAAAGTCAAACAATCAGTGAGAGGCACCAATAAAAAAAATGTAGGCAAGTGGTCGAACCAGTCCAAACCAGCTATCACACCAACCTTGCCTTCTCCGGCCCAGCGCCCATCCCTATGGCGCATCCACCTTACCCGCTGACTGGCTCCATAGGAGGGTGATGGCTTCAAACGCCGCCCCCCACTACGGCCCAAATGCATTTTTAAATTAAAAGATCCTGGCTGTTTGACTACAAAAGAAACTGGTTTGTCTTCATTTACATTATCTGATGCCAAAGCAGTCGGCCGGCGCTCAAGGTTGGCGTCAAAGCGAAGATGGAGGGGTTTAAGATGTACATACACACGTGTAAAGAAAACAAAAAAAAATGTCCGTGCATATACACTAAGAGTAATGCAATACAAATACATCCACAGCACACCCAGTAGACATATCCTTTCACACCCAAATACTGTATGTCCACAAAAACGCTAAACACACACGAAACACTGGTACGGGTATAGACAATGCTGTAACACGCACACACTCTTCTCACATGCCGTGGTGGCACATGGCACAAGGCCCCTTCTAATTAAAGCTGCTCTGTGTGCCCAGATCCCTGTTGTGGCAGGCTCCTCCCCCACCAACGCCACCACCAAGTAAAGCTCTACTGCCTGAAAGCAGAGAGAGATGGAGAGATATTGAGAGAGAATGAGAGAAAGAGAGAGTGACAGAGGAGGGCGAGGCACAGAATATTCTCGGCCTCCATCACACACACACCCAAACCTGAACACGACTTGACTGGCAACATGTTAGCAGAGACGGCTACATCCCCTGTTAGCAAACAACAAATCCCACTGGCATTGTTCTCCCTCCAGGTTACAATAAACAGCTGCTGGTCGTCTCCTTCTATACTCTCTGAATCTGTGCCGGTTTTTAAGAAGGTGTTTTTCTGGCGTTCAGAGGGCTGTCACCACAACACGGATCTTCGTCAAGGTGCTTTGTTTCAATCCACAAGGACAAAGCGAGGCCCTTTAAGAGCAGAAACATGCCTCAGCTCTCAGAATGCTACTGCACTTGTTCTCACACACACACACACACACACACACACACACACACAGACAGAAGTACCTAATGTGTGTTCTTTCACGATAAGATGGATCATTACAGACAATATCAGATATTGACCCAGACTTTCGTATAAATGCACAAACACACACACACACACTGACAGCTGCAGTCATGAATGTAAAGAACATGTGTACTTCATAAATAGTTCAGTCAGATGGACTATCAAATAATTCATATTAAGACACATTATTATTGTTCTAATTAAAATATCCTAATTACATAGTCAGTATTATTTTATATCATCATATTTTACAATATTTAAGGTACAATAATAACCTGCAATATTCTGAAAATTCCAATTTATTTTATCTTTAAAAAGTTTTAGTTTATTGCCTGTTTAAAAAAAAACATTTAATTCACTTTGGTGTTTGAACTCATCTGTAGTTCATCACGTTTTTTTGCACTGGAATGATGCAATATTAACATTAGGATTTTTAATCGTTGCAGACTGTGCTGTGAGCTTTATGACTCGTTTTTTAGATCAGAAATATTTTCACGAGTTCCAAGCTGGATAAAGAGGAAGATAATTATATGCAGATTGCACTTATTCCCCCATTATCATTAATTGTCCCTTCATTAACACTGGCTTATTCGTGACTGTGCCGCTGTTATATAATTCTAATAAATTGATACAATTTCAATATTTGTCTTCTGGGTTTTTATCCCCACAATGTTCGCCTTTCACGATGCATTTCACCCGCGAAATTAATCACTTCGTGAGTACAGAAAATTAAGCTTGTGGAGATTTTAAAGTGTCTTTCTTCTGCAAAAGTTTAAAGTGAAAGACCCTCACTGTGTCACACTGACGGCGGCCTCTTTTCTTTGACTCACCTGAGCTCAGATAAAATCCCAAAAAACATTAAAGGCATCAGTCGAGCTCCAGGTTGTTTCTACCATTTAAACCAACCTCATCAGCCTGTGCCATTGGACACGGCGTGCGTGACGTCAACAAATCCGGCGCCTCTAATTTGAAATAATTTATGCGAAAGTGCAGAGCTGATTAGCAAGAAATTGATTCCTATTATAAAGCCTCGTTGGCTATCATCTGATTAAAACCACGTGCTAAAATCATTTCGTTTTACACAATTTATGAAACAGGTTGAATTCTCAGATTGAAAGCTGCGTTTTGAGGCAACAAAGGCAATTACGCACGAGTTTTACGCACGACATAAAGTATTTTAAACACACGTCATGGCCATATTTAAAGGTGGATGCGTTTTTGTTAAATTACCAGAATGGAGGTGGCATGCTGAGGTGACCGTGTGGGCCTGTTGGCAGACACACAGTGGGTTTGTGTCTGATGAACACACACACACACAGTGTCACAGTCACACTGTAGTGTGTGGAGCTGAATAGCTGAAAATGACGATTTGTGGAAATCACTTAATTAATTCTCCACACGTTCTGTATGTAATGAAACTATAGCTGCGGAACATTCCTGATATTGTATGAATTTAACAAAATAATGTCATCATTTTTTTGCCATGGTGTTTTGTTGAGCTGTGGCTGTTTTTATAATATTTGTGTTTAAATCTTTAACTCATATTTGCGCTTTAGAAACCATCCTCTTACATATGATCAATTCTATTCTGCCTTAGAACTATAATTGCATAACTTAATACACCTTTGACTATAGACTACCATATATGCTAATATTTCTTCTATATTATTCCCTAAAACTTCCTATAATATCCAACCTGACTAAGGAAGCCTGTGTGTGATGTGACAGTGAGAGCTGGTAGCAAATATTACCTACAGTAAGCCACGTGTTGTGAGGCCGCTGAATGTCTCTCCAGGGATCCCTGGAAAAAAGAGACGATCGTTTTATTCTTCAAATGGACTATACAGCACGGAGGAGCCAAATTGGCCCATTTTACATTCCCCAGCCTTCCATCGAACAGTAAAGACAATCAGCGAACTGCATTTTGCTCCCACAATGAAAAATGTTTTTTTTTTTTTAAAGAGGGTGATGGTGGGCGTAAAGCAGACTTTAGTCGTGTGGACCGTGTGATGTATTCTCTCTGCACATTTCTGCTGTTGTCACAATAACATAACGCACAACGTGCCGCCTGTATGTTTGAACATAAAGGCATATGATTGGCAGTCGCAAAATTATTACTCTAAAATACACTGCAGTGGCACACACAACTTTGCCTCCGTATGTGAGTGTTTGTGTGAGGGTGTGAGTGTACTGTGGTGCAACTAGTTCAATAAATTAACAAATAAAACACAAAAATTCACCTAAATTTAAAAAATCCAATCAAATACCAAATTTACAGTTTTAAGATAAACATTTTTTTGTTCCTGTTCCAGACTCAATCTCTGCCACTGCATTGACCCCTGTCTGCATACACATTAATACTCTAATGTTCATCATGTGAAACGTTGCATAATCCCAGTTTTTTTTTTTCTGCCTTAAAGCCACCTCAAAGCTCCAAAGGCACAGCTCTCTCCCCCGGTGTGTCCGGGGGGTGCACACGTGTTCTCGGCACAGGCCTCGTACTCGGCGCACACGTGTGGACTGGATATTTGGCCTTGTGATCGCTTTATCCGCCAGCTATGGGTGTGAACGCCACCACTTTGTCTTATTACGCATGCATTGCGGGCCTGTCTGCTGGTAATCCTCATATCTGAGCCACATGGCCACACAGAGTCCTGCAAGGGCTTAATTTGGGAGAAAAAAAGAAAGACAGGAGAAAAAAAGGTCCCGTCTTTTTGTCCCCAAACCCTGATCGTGTCATATTGGGTTGGTTTTTGGTGCCATATGTTGCCGCTCCCGCTGCCACGGCGAGCAGAGCTGGAGAAGTGACCCTGCTAAGCGCCTGGAGGTGTGTATGAGAAATGAAATCAGGGCTGGAAGCGCCTTTTGGCCTTTGTGGTTCCCTGTGAATGGCGCATATGAAACCTGTACACAATGCGTCATTGAGGCTGTGAAACAGGAGGAGTTCTCCCTCAAAGCAGCACCAAATCACGTCTAATTACAAGTTGCTCTTTCACTGATATATTTCATCATTTAACCAGAGAGTGCAGGCTTGGTCCATCTGTGACCTTTCACTGGGCCTGGACACCATTCCACACTCAATGCAAGAAATGAATGAATTAGAATGATCTTTCTCTAGAGCCTTTGATGCAGTTTGAAAACAGAACATTAAATAAAAGACTAAATGTGCATATTTTGTGCTGAGCAATGTTTCCACCTGCTATTCGCTCCCAGCAGCTGCCATTCTGACTGAAATACCCGTTCCTACTTTGCACTTCTCAGAGCATCAAGACAGAAAAAGAGACAAAAATAAGAAAATGTATCAAATTTAGAGCTGAAGACCTGCTGCTCAAACACACATCGCCCATGTTCGCCTGCTGCCGCCACATCCAGACCGTGCACTGCTCCGTTGTGTGTTCAGGTTGGCGACGTACGCGGCGCGGATGCAAACGCGTTCTCCTCCGTTTTTCTATAGCCGATATTCCGCACCTGCCTTCGCAT